CCCCTGGCCTGGAAGGGCAGCTGCCACCACTGATCCCCTCCCTTCGGGACTGGGGTGGAGCTGGGAGACCATGGGGCTGGCACCTGGGAAGTGGAGCAAAACGGGCAGAACCAGGAGTCCCGGTTCCTAGCACATGGTGGTGCACATGCCTCTGTGCCTGTAACAAAAAGCATTCCGCACATGGTTGGATGGCCCCTCTCAGGCCCCTCTGTCTCTGCTGCAGCCAATCAAGAACGCCCCTCCGGGGAAGAAATATGTGAGGTGTCCCTGCAACTGCCTGCTGATCTGCAAGGTGACCTCCCAGCGCATCGCCTGCCCTCGGCCCTACTGGTGAGACTGGGCTGGAGGGGGGCAGGAGCAGCGGCACACCGGGCCTGGGTCATGTGTGGAGGAAGCCTCATCTGTGCCTGCCGGGGTCAGCTCCCCTTCTCTGCTGGCCAGGGGCGACGCAGGCACAGCCCGACGCCTGGGCCCTCGGAGCGTGTCCCTGCCGGGTCGCACGGGGCCGGGCGGCAGCTCTCCCGGGGCTCGGGGCTCAGTGCCCTTGCACCAGGAACACAGGCCCTCGCCGCACGCACGTCGTGCTGTGATTCTGGCGCACGGCGGGCGTGGCGAATGGCTGGGCGGAGCGAGTAGCGGGGTACCGCTGAGAGGCTCAGAGCCAGGGTCCCCCCGTGAGGTGCCAATGGCCACACTGAGCGCCTGTTTGCCAAGGGACCAGCCAGCGTCCCAGGCCAGCGTGTACCTCCGAGCTCACCCCGAAGCGCTGGCTAGGCCCGTCTGTTAGCCCCAAGCATCAGCAGCCCCCCCGGCCCGCTCTGTACAGGGCTTCGTGCAGCGATAGAGCAGTGGTTGCAACAGTGTTTCGCGTGCTCCTCTCCAAGTCCGCAGGTTGACAGGCAGCCGTTCGGGTGACCCGGTGGGCACTGCCCGACCCTCCTGTCAGCTGCCACCAGCTGTCCCTGGGGGGCAGGGCTCTCACCTGTGTGGCTTTCTCTCCCCTGCTGCAGCAAACGAATCATTAACCTGGGCCCCGTGCACCCGGGTCCCCTGAGCCCCGAGCCCCAGCCCGTGGGAGTGCGGGTCATCTGCGGGCATTGCAAGAACACATTCCTGGTAAGCGGGGAGCCCGGGGCTGGCTGCGTCCCTGGGGCTGGGGGTGGAGGCCAGTGGGCAGAGCAGGGGCTGGGTGTCCCAGGCGTGTCTTTCACTTGCTTCTTGTTCACCCAGTGGACGGAGTTCACAGACCGCACCTTAGCCCGCTGCCCGCACTGCCACAAAGTGTAAGTTGCTTGCCCTGCCTGGGGGGAGATCCACTGCCCTGGGCCTAGGGGCGGGGTTGGGAGTCCAAGGAGAGGAGGGGAAGGTGCTGTCATAGCCTGGGGAGTGGGGGCTGGGAGCTGGACTCCTGGGTGCTGGAGCCGGGGGAGATGTGGGGCAGGGTGAGGGGCTGGGGCCAGGACTCCTGGGCGCTGGAGCCGGGGGAGATGTGGGGCAG